TTACCATACCAAGTAGTAGAGGAGGGAGACAACAACCTTGTGGTGAACCAGTAGAGAAATTTAAAAAGTCTAAAATCAAACTAACGCGATTAAAATCAAGTTTAAATTGATTAAGAAATTTATCGGCTAAGAGGTGTGGCTGGATAGTATTAAAAGCTGAAGAACAATCGATAAATAAGAGCCGAGCATGAGCTTTGGCCCCATCCAGATGGTGGTATAAGAAATTTAATACTTTTATTAGTCATAATTGTTTCAAAAAGATTTTCCACCCTTTCTTTCATCAAGGACAAAGCTTTATGTAAACGGTGACATTGATCTGTGGGAATTCCCTCGGCAGATAAAACGGCCTCAAAGACACAGAGAGGAGCTCAATGTCAGGCAGACACACTTGTCTACGAACGGTCACGTTTTTACACCATTTCTGATTTATATACAAACACACCCCTCCTCCTTGCGATTTCTGGGTAGCTCCGGGGTCTCGATCCAAACGTATGGGAACCCCGAAGCCATTTAATTCCAGAGAACAATCAGGGTCAGAATCCTTGAGCCAAGTCTCTGTGAATGCCATTAGACATGCATCCCTGTAGTCACGTAAATGTGCGACATTCAAATGCAGTTCATCTAATTTACTCCTCAGAGACTGCACATTAGCCAGGATTATTGATGGTAAAGGAATACGGTTGTACCGTATTTGCTTCCGCAATCGCTGACGTAGGCCTCCCTTCTTACCCCGCTTCCTTGCTTTGACTCTGTTAAAAACAAAAGTGCCCCTGTGATTACTGGATAATCCAGAGCTGGAAAACACTGGAGGGTGAAAAGAGTCCAAAGACGGGCCTGTTCCACCGAAGATCCAGAAGAAACTCCCGTGAGTATGTAATGTTTGTGAGTGACAAAGACTTCAAACAACTGTCAGGATTGCCAATAAAAAAAAAACATTCCACAGAGCACAAGCCGATGCTTAAGGATTTCCTCGGGCTCAAAATCAGACAACAACGTAACTAAAAAAAAACCTGACAACTGGCAGACACAGACAACCTGCTGGAGCAGTGTCCCCTTTCAATCTATGACCAATCACGAAATGACAAATAATTCAAAGCTTCATAAAAATTAGTTTGATTATTTTTTATTTATCAAATAACAGTGATTTCTATAATAACGTACGGCAAACTCTTCTAAACCAAATGGATCAACTGAGCTCCTCCACACACATTATCTGAGGAACAGGTCATAGAGACCCATGAAGAGCAATTACAATATAAAACTATAACTATAACACCAGTGCTGCAAATAAGCTGAGAGCAACGAGACAGGAAGTAAAAGTAATGCTGCCAAAGATCATTCATCTTGTGAATGCACGATCATCACAGCAGTACTTTGCACAGTGAAGGATCAAAAAATGATTTGATCCTCTGCTGAATTTGTACGTTTGCTCACTAAGAAACGAACAGGTCAGACGTTTATGGGAGTTTTATTTTAATGGGCGAGAGACGAAAATGCACAAAAGATTTAAACTGATTTGCATTTCTCTGATTGAAATAAATATTTTGTCCACCAACAAAACATGACCTACTACTTCCCAGAATTTTGGCTTCTGCAGATTGACAGATTACAACTGGCCAATAAATCAATTACAGATACTCCTGATCTCCACTCTCACTGTACATAAAGCAGACCTGTCCACAGATTCAATTTCTTTCCTCTCCAACACCAAGGACAAGACCAAAAAGCCATCAAAGGAGGTCAGGGACAAGGCTGTAGACCTGCACAAGGCTGGGATGGGCTACAAAATCATCAGTAAGACCCTCGGTGAGAAGGGGACAACTGTTGGTGCCATTATTCTGAAATGGAAAAAAATATAGTGACCATCAATGGACCTCGGTCCGGAGCTCCGTGCAAGTCGTTGTGTGGTGGAGGAACCACACTACGTTGTAACAGATGGGAGGGAGTTTTTCTGGATGTTTGGTCGATATCATGTCTCTCTCCGTTGAAATGAAACTTCCACACAAATTAGAAACTGTTCATTTCTTTGTAAGTACAAAATCAGCTGCAGATCTAATAATTATTTCTCCCACTATACTGTACTGCTTGTGCTGCTGTTAAACTAACAGCTGAACATTAGAAATAAGTGAAACTTGAAACACATGTTGGTGTGTTCAGGTCTGACACAACATCCAGCATGTCAGTGGCAGAAAAAGGTAACAGACAACAACAAAGAAAATATACATTTCCTTACTTTTCTGTGCCAAGCTTAGATACCTGGAGCTGTCACCACGCCACATTCATGCAGGGTGACTTCTGCTTTGCTTTAGGTGCCGTACTGTCCCGAGCATTTTTCAGGCATAATATCAGAATCAGAATACCTTATTAATCCCTGAATTCATGTGTCAGTCATCCATAATAAACACACTGCATATCTGTGCACGTTTCTCTATCTAAAGTCAGGTTTGACCGGTTTGCTCTGACACATATTAGCTGTCTCACACAGACATGTAGAGAATCACCTTATTCCTGTCATGCTTCACTAACAGGTGAATGTCTGTTTATTTTCAGAGTTAATAAAGAATCTTGTTCCTCTCTGTCGGGATTATGGAAAGGTTTTAAGACTAATTTGAATAGTTTACATGTCTGTAAAATGCAGTTATTGGTCTTCACTGCAGTGTGGGTGAGGATTGCTTTAGCCGTTTGAAATCAGTCTTTGGTTTCTTTCTGTATGATGATGATGTGGCAAACGTATTTATTTTTTCTTCCCCTTATCATGTGGATTAAAATAGATTAAAAAAAATAACAGTTTTCCTAAAATGTATATGCAAAATTCTTTTTATGGCAAATGTTTTTCAATGTTTCGAAAAGACTGAGACACACGCTGATGCCTGCAGACTGATCCTGGAGGACATCCGTCAAAGACACAGTCTTCTGGATACTCCCCTGGGCTGAAGGATGCTTTGATCGAGGGACTACAGCTGGTGATGGAGCCAGAAGGCAGATTTTTCTTCGGCCGAGTCCCATTTTAATACTTTGCTATGGAGCATTTTAGTAATTTGCACCTCATCTTGTTGTAGTGTTGCATTAGAGATCCAGTAGCATAGTTTTTATCGCTGTGATATATTAAAGTTCAAAGAAGTGTGCATCACATGCTTTCAGTGTTGAGTCGAAATTCATGTTTGTAACTGTCCAACAATAAGAAAACAACATGGTTAGAGACGTCAAAAGTGCCTCGAACCAAAGACCTCTTTTCCTTCCATCTCCAGCTACACTTGAAAGTAATTTGTGCACCTGTGTGGTTGTTAGAAAGGCTTGTTTTCTACCAGCACCGCCGCATTCTTATTAAATGTCCTCAACTACATCTGTGATCGTTTTCACGTGCGCTCACAGAGAATGGAACAAAAGGCACCAACATCCAAAGAGGAGCAGAAGCAATGACAGGATCTGCTGTCTGTGAAGCCTTTTTAAATCTAAAGTCACATCAGTTTATCCCACCATGGGAAATAACCCCAGAAGGCCCTTTAAACAACCCGAGGTGCACCTAAAAGCACCGTGAATCGTAAATAACCATATAGGTGCGCAAAAATATTTCCAGGGTAGCCGGCGTGAACTTGGTGATTCGAAAGCGGTAAGTGGGGCTAACCGGAGGCGCTTTCACCACGCCACAAACGAAAAAACAAGTCAGATTATCAAACCGGAAATAGCCGGCGTGTTTATGGTTTATGCTTTTATAGGAGCCGGTGTACGTGGAGAAGACACGGCCATGTGCTAAGCGGTCTTATGTGGAAACAAGGTGAACGTCGTTCTGTGTAGCGCGACCAGTTTACACCTGAGAGACGAGCCTCCTGGGCGGTTGCTATGGTGATGGAGTCAGATAAACAGACTCCAGCTGTAAACCAGTGTCACCGCCCGCACGATCTGATATCGTCGTGTTGGTGTTGTTGCAGGATCAACACTGCAAGTGACCAATCAGAATGTTGTGACGTAATGCCCTGGCGACTTCTGGAAAAACCGCCGTAAAACAAAAAACTGTACTTAAGCTGCGAGAAACCGCCTCTGTCCGCCGATCAACCGGACCCTAACCCTTTAATAAACGCTAAGCAGAATTGATATTGTCCTTGCAACATTGGAATTTCATAAATGCACGAATGGCTTGGCGCACCAAAGAATAACGTCACAACAATGTGATTGGTCACTTGCAATGTTGATCCTGCAACAACATTTACTATGTTGTTCCAGGAACAACACCAGCACGACGATATCAGATCACCAGTGTAGATATCGATACAGGAGTCGTGTCCCACAAATCCCGCTCACCCCCCCAGGAAGTGATTAAAACACGCAGTGTTTAAAAAACTTTTCAACAAGTCAAACACAGTTTCAGGCTCACTCTGATCTGTTTCACCCACCCTTCACCGAGTCACGCAGGCTTTAAAGACGGAGTAAAACACTGTGATAAGAAGCGCAGGAGAAAGCTGAAGTAACACTCACCCCGCTCAGGCTCGACGTTCCTGCTTCCTGCGCCCTCACACTGCCCCATCAGCGGCTGCTTTCTCCTCCCCCTCCGTTTACAGGAAATCAGCTGGATTTCGGCAGGCGTGAGATACGGGAACTTTAAAAACTTCTGCACAAGAAACATTCCCCCCAAGACTGAAGATATTTATTAAAGAAATGTAAATCCTGCAAACAAACTTCAACACGGGATTCAAAGCTCCTGTCACGCAGGTTTTTACTGGTTTTACTTCAACCTAAAGCATCAGTGGTGAACCAGCGTGAAACATCACAAACACAGAGTCGCGATGATAATGATAGTACAGACGAACATCAGCAGGCTGTATGTTTAAAGTTACTTTAAAGGTGTGTATGACATTAAATGCGTGGAAAGGATCCACACACAGTGTTTTATCTCACCCATCCTTCGTGTCCAAACCTGACAGGTACATTTCCCCATCTTTACTTTGAGTTTCTATTTCAAGTCATGTCCTGTCTTATTTTGTAATCCTCTGTACTTTCCACATTTTCACTTCCTCTTATCTCTAACTTTGTCTCATTTTCATCACCGTCATGTCGTTCTCGCGTGTCGTGTAGGCTTGGCAGTGGTCAGATCATCTGTGAAGGTAAACATGTTTAAAATGTGAGCGAGTTGTGATGAGAGAGCTTTTATTACAGTCGAACCTTTCTTAGTTTATAGTCCTCTTCACTTCCTGAGTGACCTGACCCACAGAAACAGGCCAGTTTCACAGCATGAGCTGGTGTGCGCCTGGAAAGATGATTTCTGGGGCTTTTCCTCGCCCGGGTTGTTTGTCTCACAGACTCTCTGTCAAAGTATGCACTGGCAGCCTTACATAAACCTTCTGGGTGTCTCTTGTGTCCGGCATTTATTCCTGTTTCCTGTCATTTGCATCGCCACAGTTGGGTGGCAGGCTGAGGTATGTAGTGTTAGCAGAGGCTAATGAAGCTGCAGCAGTACTCTGGACAATCAGCACCTTCAGTGCCCCCCTGCCACATTTACATTGCTATACATAGTTTATTGTTCTAAATGTCTCACATGTTCTGTCATATTTCCAACTCTTCTCTCTGTATTTAACAACTTCTGTCTGAAATCCTTCCACAGTCTGACTCCTGGTTTGTTTTCACACCAAACTTCACCTTTATTAGCTTTTACATCCATATCTTTCTTTTCTTTACGTGACACAGAGATGAAAGAGTCGTCTCTCACTGCAGCTTATTTTTATCTGCCATCATCAACCTCATTCACATCTCTCACACGCTCAACAGTAATTATTTACAATATTAACAGAAATGCCACCCACCTGCCCTGAAGCTACTGGGATAAAACAAAAGCCATCTTCATGCTACAGACCTCTGGTCTTTTGTGTCACACATGCTCTTCCCTGTCAACTTTTGTATGTGTGATACAGGAAGTCAGAGGAAACTGACTGAAGACTTTTAGAGGAAATTTAATGGCTTCATTTATTAGCAGAGAGGAAGGAAACATGAATCTGTGTGATTACCAAACTGTGGTGATTTTAATCACATAAGGAACACTTAAGACAGATGGTTACTAATACTAATGCAAAGTAAACACATAACAGCCAAAATTTGTACAAAATAATTAGAATAATTTCACAGTAACATTAATTTGATTGATTCAGATGATCAAGACTGAAAAAAATAAACTTGCAGAGTTGATCCAGAATCCTTCAAACCACCAAAGTTTGAAGACAAAGTCCTTCCCTTACAAAATAAAGCACCTTGAAATTGTTGTTGTTAATCTGAGTACTTGACTATATGAGAATCAGTCCATTGGCACGAGCACTCTGAAAAGGGTTGGGTCCACCTCTTTGAGAACATCGAGCAGATGTCTGCAGGCGTCATTTCCTTTTCGGCTCACGGTGTCGATTATGCATCGCACTTTATTTGCTCTGCTTTTTGTCTCACATGTCCCAGACTCCATCTCTCCAGCAATTATAATTTGACGCTCGAGGAGTTTATCTACAATTTTGTCTAAACCCTCTGCAGACACTCTTTCAATAAACTCTGAGCGGATTAGCAGCAGCTTATCCTCATCTTTTTTTGTTTTGTGGTGTGCGCTGTCCTCTGGTGAGACTCGGTCCTTTTCTGGGACAAACACTAAAAAGAGACTTAAATATGATTTCAGTTGAACGTTTGTAAAATATCCTTGTAGCAGAAATTTATACAGTCATTTCTGCTGCTGCAGTGGAACTTTTACCATCACGACGCCAGGCTTCATTTCCATCTTGGTCCTTGACTATCAGAGTCACAACCTCCAGGTTTGCAGTCAGGAAAACCTCAAATGTTGGATAGTAATTCGGTCCAAGCTTGTTCCGAAACTCTGCGTGCTGAAAGCCAACAAGAATCTGCGGTTTTAATAGGGACTGATAGAAAACTGCTTATTTTATATCTGACTTTATTTTCAGGGGCATTTTATTCACGACTGTTGGCTCACGTTCGGCTGGATCTTCAGGCCCTCGGGTTCACAGTGGACACTGTAACGCTGACCGATGTGAAGCACGCAGTCTGAAGACGTCTCAATGTATGTAGCATCATTGCCTTGTTGCTTTTTAACCTCAGTGGTAGGATATAACATGATGTTAATGTTCATATGTTGATCTGTTTATCTATAGAAATCATTTATAATTATCAAGTGTTGACTAAAGTGTGGAACAAATGATGCAGTGCAGTCGGTAAACCCAGGTTTACTTTGTCAGTAGTGGGAGAGATAACTATGCAATCAACTCTGGATTGTTACTGAAGTCAAGAATAAAGCGCTGTGATTGGTCAGTGAGAGTGAGAGTCTGCAGTCGGAGAAGCTTGACTCTGTGCTTCTACTAACCAATGAATAAAGCCCAGGGTGTCTGCCCCCTACTAGAAGCATCAGAAATCTGCAGAGTGAGACCGCCTGAGTGCTCTATGCTTACCTCTGACAGATGGATTCTTTCATGCAGGAGAAACACGTTGATTTTTAGAGGCACTGTGTCTTTAAATCGCAGGAACAGCAGAACCTGGCCTGCTTCTGGGATTTTAAAGGACTTTTTAACAAAATTCCAGATAAGGCCAAAGGCAGAGAGGTGGGAGACGTTCACAATCACATGCGTGTCGGTGATCCTCATCGGTTTCAAGATGCTTATCCCATCATCAAAGACGTGCGCGACAGACAGCAGGCCATCAACACACAACGCTGTGAAGGCAAAGAGCTGCTGCACTATTTCCTGCTCGGGGATTCATCCTGCACCATTTACTTTTCAACACTTCAGGTAGTTCAAACTAATCACTGTTATCTACAAGTTAGATGCTACCCATTTATTGATGTGTGCAACAACAATCATAATAAAGTGCTTGTTTTGATACTGAACACAATTCATCTCATCATCGCAGCACGGTGCTCACCCTCCTTTGTTTCACAGTGTGGCAGGTGGAGCTGACGGACTGCGTCCTCAGAGCACGTGATGTTAAACAGCGGCCCTGCAGCTGTTTTTCCAGCTTGTTGAAGGAGGCTCTCATCCCATTGGACATTCCAGTACAGCAGCTCCGCCTTCTGAGCCATAACAAACACCAGTCTGGTCAGAGTACACTGGAACACACCTGGACCAGGACACCTGAACCTGTAGAAGATGAAACGGTTAAACTAGAATCTAAAAGAAAGAAACCAACGAGAACATCTGAAGCTTCTGTTTGAGTCCAAACTGTCACATCCACCAAAGTGAGGGGATGCTACATCTGTAACTCTGCTGCTTTGGCTCTAAAGCCAAAGCAGGTTATTAATTCTACTTGTGGTTTGGGATATCTCAGGGTTTGAGTCACATGTCACATAATTAGAACACGGTTGTGGTTAGTCATCCCGGAGGCTTCAGCCTCTTTCTGGACTGATAGTAACCTGCCATCGCTGTATTTGAGTTTTATATTATCAGAACACCTCAAATCACACAGAACCCAGATGAACCCTGTCATCTCTAACACAGCCAGGCATCTGTGGAGGCAGCTGTTACTGGAGCTGGAGGGCCAAGTGAAGGTCCTGCCTGAAGTCTGACATCATCTCTGTCTGTCACTGAGGTGAGGGACGTCACCTGTCTGATCAGTTCCTTCATCACTGATAGTGCAAACTAGAGCTGAATAACTGAGATGCAACTGTGCTGCTCCCATCAGAAACTGACGCTCCAGATGATCTTTCAGTGGAAATGATGTCTGAGTGAGATGGACAAAGGAAAACACAGAGGGAGAGAAAAGCAAAGTACACAACGTCTCATATATTAGACATCGATGGAGAGGAGGAGGTAATTTACTATGTCACACCTCCAGGTGTCTAATACAAATCAGGTCACATCAGAGCATGTGTGACATCATTCTAATGTGGAGGTGAAAGCAGTGACAGCTGTGGTTTTATTATCACCTGTGGGAGATTTGTGTGGATTCAGGTTGTACTTCAGGTGTGAAGCTTGATGGAGGCTGGAAATCAGAACAACACCAGCTGTTTAAAGCAGCAACAAACCAGTAAGTGAAGAAACTACACAACGTACACATCAGCAGTTATATGTACGTACTTTCAAAACTGGCAGTAAAATAGTGGGACTAAAAACAATGAAAACATGGAGCCATGCAGGATAAAGCTTAAAGCATCCTGATAACGTACAATTAATCAGTGTTGCAGTGCAGGTAAATTCAACACGTGGAGTTAGTTTCTGTCCTGAAGCCTCCTTCTTTGTTCCATCAGACAAAGTTTAGACTACTACCATGAAAAAGTGCCGAGATTAACAGTCATTACATGTGTAAATGATAAGGATCCGCTTGCTTTTGTCTCACCTCAATTGGCTCTATGTCATCCTCAGATAAATCAGCTAAAGGGTTTATATCCAATGTTTGTTCAGAGTCACCTGATGAGAGACAGACAGCAGAACAGTTCAGGATTCCCTGGAACACTTTTCGTCAGAGCTGACTGCAGACGTCCAAAGTGTACACTCAGAAATATTTTGCTAGAAATCAAAGCTGATTTGTGTCTGAATAATTTAATCCAGATCTGAAAACATGCTACCATTTTCAGCTGCACCACAGATAAACTTTTATAGAGCAATGTTTCCCAACCTTTGGGAGCCACAGCACATATTTCACATTAGAAAGAAATCACAAACAAAAATGTCACAAAAAGCATATTGATAGTTTTTCCCTGCACACCAGTTATAGTGGAATTTGCTTGGTTTGTCCCCAGTACACCTTCTTTGCTTCTGACCACTAATCGTGCTAGGGCTTTCATGTGGTCAGACTGCCTACTTTTTCTTTTCAGATATTTATCTATTAATATTACACGCTGCATCGTCTCACAGCATGACTATTATGTAATTTCTTCTTCATCTTCTTTTGTTTTACCTGCCACTGCTCTACTCCCTCTACACTTCAGACTGTGTGGCCACCCACGGCTCCAACACCATTGTGAAGTTTGCTGACGACACAGTGGTGTTGGGTGCCATCTCCAACAACGATGAGGCGGCCTACATGGATGAAGTGAAGAATCTGGCATCGTGGTGCCAGGACAACCACCTCCAGCTGAACGTCGGCAAGACCAAGGAGCTGGTGGTGGACTTCAGAAGGGGTCAGCACAGAGACTACAAGCCCATTATCATCAATGGAGCTCCAGTGGAGAGGGTGCAGTCCTTCAAGTATCTTGGTGTCCACATCTCCTCAGACCTGACATGGGCTGCCCACATTCAGGTCCAGACCAAAAAGGCTAGGCAGCGCCTGTATCACCTACGACAACTGAGGAAGTTCAGGGTCTCTCCAAAGATCCTCAGGATTTTCTATACAGGCGCTGTGGAGAGCATCCTCACACAGAACATGACATCGTGGTTTGGGAACAGCTGTGTGAAGGACCAAAAAGCTCTCCAGAGAGTGATCCGTACAGCAGAACGCTGCTGCAGGATTGCTCTCCCCCCACTTCAGGACACCTACACCAGGAGATGCCGGACTAGAGCAGCGCAGATACTGAAGGACCCGTCCCATCCTGGCAACAAACTGTTCCAACTTCTGCAATCTGGTAGAAGGTTCCGCATCTTCCGGGCAAGGACAGAGAGACTCAAGAGGAGCTTCTATCCCCAAATATATATATATATATATATATATATATATATATATATATAGTTAAGTATATATAGTTATAGTGATATATATATAATAATATATAATATAGATACATAATATTAGTATATAATATTATATATATATTATATTAATTAGTAATATATGAGAAGCTCCTCTTGAGGATATAATATATATATATATATTAGTGATGTTCTTCCTCTACTACCCCCCCCCCCCCATTTTAGCGTGTCAGGTTACATTTTACTGTGTGTTATACTTGTATAACTATGCATGTGACAAATAAAGAGCCTTGAACCTTGAACCATTTAATTAGAGCAAGCAGTTGTACTGCCCTCTGTAGCTGAATGTGCGTATCACTCATCTATTTTCAAAAGATAACAATAACTCTATAAGGAGAGCACTCTTCAAAGCGCACAGTCACAAAGGGGCTTCACCGGTTGGTTGAAAACACATTAAAGAGGTGTGCATATCCCAACATACAAAGTTGCACTCGTGCATTCTCAATAAATATTTGCATAGAAACATTTGCTGTGATCCAATGATGGGGTGTGCAAGAAACAGCCTGCATACTCAGTCGACCTCACGGGATGATGCAGGAAGGCTGTTTCAAAGTTTATGCGCTGAACTCGAAATATGAGAGTGGAAGTGTCAAAAGGTTCTGATGCAGTGAAGCTGCTGGGTTAGTGTCTGATATCAGCTATGAGCTTCTCCACGTCCAGCGTTTGAGTGCAGCCGGCTAAGAAAAGATATCTAGGAGGAGTTCAGGAGTCCCGAGTAGTAACCTTCTAACTATTATGATTTCTAAAACATGAAATATACCTGTTCATCATCAAATTGCAATTTTGAATTTTAAGATGTTTAAGATGTTAAAATGTTTTATGGCCTTTTTATTTAAACCTTGTAGCATTTTAGCATGTTTGAAATACATTTTTCAAATATTTTCCACACCTCCATACAACATAATTTATAGGATTTCTTTGTTAAAATAAGCACACAGTCATATACATATTTGATGCTGTTAATAAAATATTGGTGAATAGGAGACATGTCAGTACTCACAGTCGTTTTCATTGGAAGGTTCAATCATCCTGTCAACCCTGCAGATACAAACAGAAGAGTTTGAGTAGAATAATCCATCTTTGCTTGAAGCTTCAGATCAGCTTTATTAATTTTTAAAAAAAATGACATTTAAAAATTAATTTTTTTTCTCTCCAGTCAGAAAGTTCTGCACAAAGGAGATCTTTGGTTTGTTGGGTTGCTCTACAATTTTATAGGATCTTTATCTAAACACAGCAACAACAACAAATACTGAATATTTATTAAATCACATTTTTGAAATTGGTTCAGCTGAACTTAAAAATATGGACTTGAAGCTTGATTTGTCAGATCTGACCAGACTGACAAAAGACTAAAACTAAACTCATTTTCTGTTCTTGTTTTTCTTAATTTCAGGTAAAGTATTAAACAATATCATTTCAATGAGTTTTTTCTAAAGTCAACTTTTTATTTTTATTTTAGTCAAACATTTTTTACATCTACTTTCAGCTTAGTGTTATTTAACTAAAAAAAAAACTGCGACCCTCTACTGACCCCAGAGTCTCCAGTCTCCACTGTGGATTCTCCACAAGCTCAGACAGCTGCTTCAGATCCGATTCCTGCAGGTTGTTTCCTCTCAGGCGCAGCTCGCTCAGATAGGACGGGCTGGACTTTAGCGCTGAAGCCAGATACTCACAGCTGATCTCTGACAGACCACAATACTCCAGTCTAAGTAAAAAGCAAAAGATTTAAGGTTATTGTACAAACTTATTCTTGAAATCATATAGTTTTGTTTATTGTTTACTTTTATTAAACATGCCTGTGGCCACAGATTGACATGGTTTTATCCTTTTAGAGCCAACCTTTTTATCTCCAGCTTTAACAATTAAGACTCCATTATGAAGAACCACAGTGTGGGTCAGTATATCAGTCTAATGTCTGCAGGTCAGTGGAAAACAAAACTTGAAAACATGGTGACTGACCTCAGAGTTTCCAGTCTGCACTGTGGACTCTCCAGAAAACCACACAAACGCTCCACTCCTAAATCCTGCAGTTTGTAGTTGGAGCTCAGGTCCAGCTCTCTAAGAAAGGAGGGGTTGGACTTCAGAGCTGACACCAGAAATCTGCAGCTGTGTTCACACAAGCTGCAGTCCTCCAGTCTGAATAAAACAAAATACATTTGTAAGCTCAAAAGTTTCTGCTTGAAATTGTTCAGTTTTTCATCGTTCAGAGGGAGAACAGAAAAATGGTTATTAAATGAAAACAACTGCAAATGAATACCTGTCAGATAAAACTAATAAGTCATTAATTTCAAATCCTTAACCATTGTTTTTTGAAAGAATTTATTGTAGATGAAGTGTTTTTTTACATTAATATTTCTTTTTCATGCAAGTTGTAATAACTCTGATCTTAGATATAATTAATATGTCTGTGAAGGTTCTCAGTCATCCTGGTCATCGTAGCAAAGGAGCTTGCAAAGAAAAGCGTCTGGACTTCTTTAAGTTACTTGAAGACGTTTCACCTCTCATCCGAGAAGCTTCTTCAGTTCTAAGGTCAAATGGTGGAGAGTCCCAGATATAAGCCTAGTGGGAGTAACCCCCCACAGAGGGACAAAAGGACCCCCTGATGATCCTCTAATCGCCTGAGCCAAGGTGTGAAACTGGGTGTGGGTCCCAATCAGCCAGAGTTTCGGGTGAGTTCATTGTGAAACCTGGCCCCACCTTATCATGCGAATTCCTGAGATCAGATGGCCCAGGATGTGAGTGGGTTCACTGCATCTTAAGGATAAAGGACTCTTTCGAGGATGCCAATGTTCACATTTTGGACAGAGAGGACAGATGGTTTGAAAGAGGAGTGAAAGAAGCATCTATGTCCACTGTGAGCGACCATCTTTGAACAGAGGCGGGGTTTACGACACCAACTCTCTGCCATCTATAATCCAGTTTTGAGATCCTCCCCAGACGCCTTAACGCCCACTCACATCCTGGGCCATCTGACCTCAGGAATTCGCATGATAAGGTGGGGCCAGGTTTCACAATGAGCTCACCCGAAACCCTGGCTGATTGGGACCCACACCCAGTTTCACACCTTGGCTCAGGCGATTAGAGGATCATCAGGGGGTCCTTTTGTCCCTCTGTGGGGGGAAACTCCCACTAGGTTTATATCTGGGACTCTCCACCATTTGACCTTAGAACTGAAGAAGCTTCTCGGATGAGAGGTGAAACGTCTTCAAGCAACTTAAAGAAGTCCAGACGCTTTTCTTTGCAAGCTCCTTTGACTACGATGACCTGGATGACTGAGAACCTTCACAGACACTCCTTGTGTATATTTGCCTGTGGAACTAACTGTTGCATTCTGTGTGTAGATATCCCCCTTCTGGACCAGATTACGGACCCTGCATGAGTGGAGTTTTGGAGCGAGTGCGGCTGAAAAGGAGTGAGTGAGTGTGTGTGGAGGAGCTCTGGCGGTGACTGTGCTGAAGAGGAAGCGTGTGTGTGGATTGCCCCCTCTCCCTGGAGCCCTGGATCCAACTCAAAGTATAGCACTAAAGGGTGTGTTCCCTGTTGTAAATAAATTGTCTTATTTTATTTGCAAAGACCTCTGTCTGCGCGTGAGTCTGTCCAGTACTTATGACACACCTCTTGAACAAAAACATTTTTGGTTCATTTCTGGTATCTTTTGTTCATCCCACGTCTCAGTTTATTATTCTTTTGTGTTTGCATTAATAGACCACTGTAGACTATTATTCTGGCCTAGAGTGACTAAGGTTAAGGGGTGTCCAAATTCATAGGCTGCGTCCTCCTGAGGACCCAGCCCACGTAGACCGCTGGAAGTAAACTGGTGGGCCACGAAGGACACACCCGACCCATCCTTCAAATTCGGTGAAAATGAGGACGCATTGGTCAGCTGCATTCGGAGGAGTCTACAATTTTGGACAGCCTTCGTCGCGTCGCTGTGACGTAATCGGCCTACAAATGCGGCCTCAGGAGGATGCAGCCCATGAATTTGGACATCCCCTTGTCCTCATCATCTTTGAACTCCAACAGAGACAGATGTTGTCTAAAACTGTAGCTAGAAAGGTACAGAGGGTACATCAATGTCAACAGCATTGTCTGAATCTGATTTAAAGCATCAACATGCTACAGTGACTGAAGATCCTCGGCTTTACCCTTATAACATTGGATATTATGTTGCATCACAACTGTGTCTGACCTCAAA